CACAATTACCACATGCCCACTGACAATCATAAGAAAGGATAGTCATCTGACTTGACACTGCAGGGTGGATGAAACCACTCTTGATCATTAAATTTATTGCTTCGGGGGGGGGGGAAGTTGAAATCCTTAGCAAATATCACATCCACCATAATCTCTCCACCACCAAGAGGACAGCCACATAGTCCCTGAAATCTAACTACCAGATAGTGATCAAACCAGCAGAGAAAGGGGATGCCATTGTAGTCCTCAACAGTGATGACTACGTTAATGAGGCCAACAACTCCACGACACCTATAAAGAACTCGAAGACTCCACAACACAATTTACCCAGGAATTTAAGATAATAAAATCCTTCCCCAAACAACTCCAAGATAAACTCATCCCCCACAAACTCACCCAGGGATCTTCTACACCAGTGGGTCAAACTTTTTTAATGGCAACCCCTTTCACATCACAAGCCTCTGAGTGCGACCCCCCTCCCCCCAATAAATTAAACACACTTTTAAATATATTTAACACCATTATAAATGCTGCAGGTAAGCGGGGTTTGGGGTGGAGGTTGACAGCTCACAACCTCCCATGTAATGACCTTGTGATCCCCTCAGGGGTCCTGACCCCCAGTTTGAGAACCCCTGTTCTACACACTTCCCAAGATACACAAACAAGGGAACCCAGGCAGACTCATCATATCTGGCCACGCAACTCTTACTGAAGGAATATTGGGACTCCTAGAACCATCCTCAAATCACTCACCACACCAAGGGCCAGTTTCTTCCAGGACACAACCCACAGGCGCTGACTTTCCAAAGTGCCAGGGGATGCTCAACCCCTGGCTCTGCCCCAGGCCCCGTCCCCACTCCACTCCTTCTCCCAAGGCCCCGCCCTGACTCTTCCTTTCCACCTCCCCCACCCCTTCCTGCCCCACTTCACCCCTTCCTCCAAGGCCCTGCCCCACCTCTTCCCACCCACTTCTTCCCCCTCCCCTGAGCGCACCGCATCCTCACTCCTCCCCCATCCCTCCCAGCCTCCTGCACACCGCAAAACAGCTGATTGTGGTGGATGGGAGGCGCGGGGAGGGAGGTGGAGACCCTGATCCACGGGGCCCACCGGTGGGCGGGATGCGCTAGGGGGCGCTGATAGGAGGGCTGCCGGTAGGTGCTCAGCACCCACCATTTTTTCCCCATGGGTGCTCCAGCCCTGGAGCACCCATGAAGTCGGCGCCTATGACACAACCAACTTCCTCCACACACTCCGCAACATTAACCTCCCCCCTCAGAACACCATTCATGCCACCATGGATGTCACTTCCCCATACAACATCCCTCACAATGACAGCATAGCTGCCTGCCTCAAATATTTACAAGACAATGGGCTACACTCAGATATCCTCACCAAACATCACCAATCTCATTCATTTCATCCTCACCGATAACAATTTTACCTTAACAACACACTTTGTTTCCCATGGTTTGCACAGTCATGGGTACTAGGATGGCTCACCAATATGCCAACATCTTCCTGGGCCACCCTGAAGAAGAATTTCTAGACAAATGCACAACAAAACCCAACAATGATATTTGCATCCTCTGGACAGACAACAAACTCGTTCATAGATTTCCACCGCAACTTCAATAATTACCACCCGTCCATTAAACTCTCTCTGGAACACTCCCACACTAGCATCAACTTCCTGGATACCATGATCAGCTTCAACAATGAAACCCTTCAGATAACTATATACACAAGAAACCCAGAGATCATCACACCTGTCTTCATAGATCCAGTAACCACCCCAAACACACCAAGAAATCTGTTATCTACAGCCAGGCACTCAGATTCCACAGAATGTGCTTCAGGGGGAAAGTCTGGGATATACACCCCTAACATATTCAAAACTGCCTTCACCAAACAAGGACACTCCACCAGAGTAGATGTAATCATGGAATGGGCCACCCAAATACACCAAGAGAACTTGCTACAATACAGAAATAAACCCCCTTCTGACCACACACCCCTAATTGTCACCTACCACTCCACACTGGAGCCTATACAGGGTATCAAACAACTACAACCCATTCTCAGTAGGGACACCATCCTGAAAGAAATCTTTCCTGAACCCCCTTCTCTGACCTTCAAACAATGCCCAACCTTTCCAAGCTCATCATCAGAAGCAAGCTCCCCACAGACCAGGACACACCACCTCAAAGTGGCACCAGACCCTGCCAGAACAGGTGAAAAACCTGCAAACATCTCTCTGCTGCTACAGTGATCAACCCTCCCCCATAACCCACTTTCCAAGATACATGGGTACAACACATGCCTATCACAACATGTTGTATACCTCATCCAGTGCACTAAATGCCTCCAATAAACTATGTAAGTGAAATCAGACAATCGCTATCCTTTTGAACAAACTCATACAGGAAAATAATGAGACAAAAACACCCCATCACCTGTGGGTGAACACTTTTCACAAAGTGATCACTCTATGTATCTGACTGATCAGTCCTCGTTTTCAAATGAAACCTGCACAACACTTTCAAAAGACGAGCCTGGGAGCTTAAATCCATAATTTTGGTATATACTAAAAATTATGGACTGAATAGAGACACTGGATTTATAGCTTATTAAAGCATTCTGTAAACCACCACCAAGGCCCCCCAACTGCTTTCTCACACACCCCTCTTCCTCCCTATGACTGGAGGGGTGTTAATGGGCCACTTCACTTGAATGGTCCCTGGAATTATGTGTGAACTACTTATGCTACACAATCTGTTCCACCTTGTATTTAGCAGTAACATTCTGAAGAAGTGGGTTGTAGCCCACGAAAGCTTATGCTCTAATAAATTTGTTAGTCTCTAAGGTGCCACAAGTACTCCTGTTCTTCATTCTGAGGGCAGGTCTACACTACAAACTTGTATCAGTGCAGCTTCACTGATGCAGCTGCACTGCTGTAGCGCTTTTGGTGAAGACACGCTTAAGAGATCACTACCATTGGTTTAATAACTCCACCTCCACAACATAGCACTGATTACACCGGGAGGGCGGGGGGTTAGATCAGTATAACTACCTTGCTCAGGGGTGTGGATTTTTCACACCCTCAGTGAGGTAGTTATAGCAAAGTGTGTAGTGTAGATCTGGCCTGAGTTAGTTTCCCAGAACTGAAGAAGAGCTCTGTATGAGCTCAAAAACTTGTCTATCTTACTAATAGGGCTTGTCTACACTGGCACTTTACAGCGCTGCAACTGTCTCGGTCAGAGGTGTGAAATAATACCCCCCTGAGCGCTGCAAGTTTCAGTGCTGTAACGTGGCAGTGTAGACAGTGCTGCAGCGCTGGTAGCTATGCCCCTCATGGAGGTGGATTTTTAGAGTGCTGGGAGAGCTCTCTCCCAGCGCTGTGCTGCGACTACACAAGCCACATTAAAGCGCTGCCATGTTGCCAGTGAAGATGTGCCCTAACAGAAGTTGGTTCCATAAAAGATATTACCTCCCCCACCTTGTCTCTGTGGCGTCTGGAAGGAATTTCCCCCTGCAATATGATGGGTTGTTTCCCTTTCATCCTGAGGAGCTGAGTTCATTTCTAATGCCAATATGGAAACAATATTTCAGAGTAAATACCAATCACAATATTGGTTCAGTTCCCTTCTCAATACTCATTTGTTCGTGTCAGTTCCTAAAAACTGCAGTTTTATATTAGTAATCAGCTCACACCTTATGCTCCTGGTAGGTTTACTGGTTGCCTTCAAAGGAGTCAGGGAGGAATTTTTTAGGTGGATTTTTCCCCCTTCAGTGGAGGGAATCTACAAAACCTCCACTGCCATTGGCCCTCATTGGAAATCTCAGCAGAAAGGTCAAGATTGAGCAATGGAGAGTGAACTATCCTCATCCCTATAGATCAGGGCTAAACCCTTTGGGGAAGTGTGGGAAGCTTGCACTGCCTTTGCCTATGCTGTGCCTCTTGTGTGCACCGAAGTCAGTGTAAAGCAACCAAAAGCAGATGCTTTGACAGCTGCCTCCTCTTGTGGCTCTAACAAGAATTGCAGCAACTCTTTTAAAAGTTAACCAGACATGAAATTCCCGCCCCTTTGAAGTTAATGGGAGTTTTCCATTGACTTCACTGGGACTAGGACTTCACCCCAAGACCAGGTGCAACACTAAACAAAAATCAGCCAACCAAATGCACCATAGACATAGTCAGATGTGAGGGACACCTGCAGTGATACATGTGTGCCTGGTTAGGACTGAATTGCTGCCTGCTAACTATACAGTTTCTGATTACAGGGATTTTTCAGGCATGTAAACAGGAGTTCAAAAAAACATTTCAGGGCTTAAGCTGGGCCGAGAGCCTCACTCTTGAAAGAGCATTTTTTACAAAATTTGAAATATAGCTGGAGAGAAACTAGGATTGTTTATTGAAGTTAAATTCTGAAAAATATGTAAATATACAAATAAGACAGTGGCATCAGATGCCTTTGAATGGATCCTATATAGACTATGGACTCCTCCTTAGAAGCCAGTTTGCCTCCACAACACATTTTTTCTTATCTCCCATAATGGAGACCCTTGGCTCACTGAAACAGCAGCTACAGGAGGTGTAAAGAGACAGCTCTCTGGCTAGGCATCTGTGCTGTGCTGCTGTGCCTCGATCCTTATCTCAACTATGCAGGAAATCCAGACCCCAAGTGTTAGGCTGGGCACCCCAAGAACAATGGCTGGGATTTTAGAACCAGTGCAGCACTAGTTTCTTGTGGCTGGATCCTTCTGAAATGTACATGTGAATTACCGGATTATCCATGTCCTTGGCTATGGCAGAGCAGCTAGGTACATTTACATACCGTCACGAGAACCTAGAGATTAGGGTTTAGATAATCAAAATCCACTTTGTAAAAAGGCCAGAAATATGGACGTAAGTAACTGTCTTGAAGAGGACCATTGCATCTTCTGAGGAAAAAACAATAAGCTCCAGTGGTCTCCTGCCTGGAGCCATCAGGTAAGAGAGCATGGCCTACTTGATCCATCTGGTCACCCTCATTGGACTATCAGAGAGTTGCTCAGGTATGCTCTCCAATACCACATGGCCCTGCAGCAAATATCTTCAGCAGCCTCAAAACCCCAGGGTACAATCCAGCCCTGAAGGTTTCTAAATGTCCTGCAGTATGACCTATGTAATGGCATGGTGCCCTCCTCTCATGAGCACCCCTCTGCTCAAGCGTGTCTGCGATCTTTAGGTAGTCACAGCCCTGGTATTGGGCTGTACCCCCAGGGCTTCTGCCCTGGAGGCAATGGTTTCATCCTTTTGGTCTATTCTGGTATCAGCTCAGCCTCTTAACAGTTCAGATCCCCTTCCTGTGGTGTATCTCTGTCCAAATGTAGGCCACATCCTCAATGGCCTATGAGGGGGGTGGGGAACCAGGCCCACCCACTACTCTAGGTTCCAGCCCAGGGACCCTACAAATAGCAGTCAAATGCCACCATGTCCCTTTAACTGCACTACTTTCAGTTCCCTGGGCCACTTCTCCACAGCCTCACCCTTACCCCCAGGGCTCATCTTAAATTCAGGCCCAGCAGCCAGCCAGGAGCTCTTCCTCTCAGCCCTGGTCCCTGCTAGCATTGAGCTGTCCGTGGTGCCGCAGTTCCAGGAGCACCATATGTAGGGTTCTGCCAAATTCACAGCCATGAAAAACATGTCACAGACTGTGAAAACTGGTCTTGTGTACTTTTACCTTAAACTATACAGATTTTACGAGGGAAACCAGTGTTTCTCAAATTTGGGGTCCTGACTCAAAAGAGAGTTGCGGGGGGAGTCACAAGGTTATTTTAGGGTGTGGTCACAGTATTGCTACCCTTACTTCTGCACTGCCTTCAGAGCTGGGTGGCCGGAGAGGCGTGGCTGCTGGCTGGGTGCCCAGCTCTGAAGACAGCACTCTGCCAGCAGCAGCACAGAAGTAAGGGTGGCAATACCATACTATGCCATATTTACTTCTGCTCCACTGCCTTAGAACTGGGCGGCCAGAGAGTGGCGGCTGCTGACTGAGAGCCCAGCTCTGCAGGCATCAGCACAAAAGTAAGGGTGGCAATACCATGCCATACTTACTTTAAAGACAGAGCTGCTGCCAGCAGCAGCGCGGAAGTATGGCATGGTATTGCCACCCTTACTTCTGCGCTGCTGCCTTCAGAACTGGGCTCCTGGCCAGCAGCCGCCACTCTCCAGCTGCCCAGCTCAAAGGCAGCACCAGCAGCAGTGCAGAAGTAAGGTTAGCAGTACTGCAACTCCCCCCATTACAATGACCTTGTAACTAACCCCCTGCCGCCTGTAAAGAACTGAGTCATGCATGGACATGTGACTTGCCCATGTGACTCCAAACTCCATTTTGCTGTAATTTTCCACAGTAAGAACAAAGAGGTGTTCTTACACCTGGAAGAGACTATAAAAGGCAGCTGCCTCATCTCCATCTGGTCTTCCATCCTGCTTCTTGCCTCTGGAGGAACTTTGCTACAAACCGAAGCTCTGAACAAAGGACTGAATGACCCATCCCAGCTGTGGGTGTACTCCAGAGACTTGATTTAAACCTGCAGCTTATTCTATTCCTGCCACAAGCCTGAACCAAAAACTTTGCCATTACTGTATGTAATTGATTCCATTTAACCAATTCTAGCTCTCATCTTTTTCCTTTTATGAATAAATCTTTAGATTTTAGATTCTAAAGGATTGGCAACAGAGTGATTTATGAGTAAGATCTAACTTGTATATTGACCTGGGTCTGGGGCTTGGTCCTTTGAGATCGGGTGAACCTTTTTTCTTTTACTGGGGTATTGGTTTTCATAACTATTTGTCCCCATAACGAGTGGCACTGGTGATGATACTGGGAAACTGGAGTGTCTAAGGGAATTGCTTGTGTGACTGACAGTTGCCAGTGGGGTAAAACCAAAGTCTTTTCTGTTTGGCTAGTGTGGTTTGCCTTGGTGTCTCTGGGTCCCCACCCTCAGAAAAGTACCAGATTTAAGATGGATTTCAGCATCATGTGACATGGTCACATGTCCTGTGAGACCCCCTACCTCTATTTTTCCTGGGCTGGCTTACAGGAACACAGGAAGGCTTGCAAGTAAACAGCCATTTACAACCAATTGTCCTAATCAATGGGAGCCATCAAGATTCTAAACCACCATCTGGCCCACACTTTGCATAATTACAATAGGACCCCAGAGTTATACTTTATACTTCTAGCTTCAGATACAAGAATGATACATGCATACAAATAGGAGGAATATATTCAGTAGGTTATAATTTTTGGGAGGGGGGGAGCTGATAGGGGGGCTGTAGATGCTTGTAATGATGCTGGCTTTGGTGGGACACTTCATACCCTTGATCATCTTTGTTGCACTTCTCTGAACCTTTTCCAGTTCCACTATATCTTTTTTGAGATGGGGTGATCAGAACTGGACACTATATTCAAGGTGTGGGTGATCATGGATTTGTATAGTGGCATTATGATATTTTGTCTTATTTTTATCCCTTTCATAATAGTTCCTAAGATACTGTTAGCCTTTTTGACCACTGCTGAGCATTGAGCAGAAGTTTTAAGGGAAATATCCAGAGTGCCTCCAAGATCTTTCTTGAGTGGTAACAACTAATTTAGAGCCCATCGTTGTATATGTACAGTTGGGATTCTTTTTTCCAACGTGCATTACTTTGCACTTTTCAATATTGAATTTCATCTGCCATTTTGTTGCCCAGTCAAGTTTTGTAACTTTTCACAGTCTGCTTTGGACTTATCTATCTTGAATGATTTTGTATTGTCTGAGAACTTTGCCAATCCACTATTAACCCCCTTTTCCAGATCATTAATGAATATGTGAAACAGCACAGGTCCAGGACAGCTCCTTGGGGGACCCGCTCATCTGTCTAGCTCACCTTGCCCTGGGTGCAGTCATTCCGGGTGGACTTTCTCTCCAGGCTTGCAGCTTTCCTGGGACTAGCTTTGCAACTGGCTTCTGCTCCCTGCAATGTTCCTGGCCAGTCCCCTGACAGGTGCACCTTTGTCCCCACCATATATGGTGGTGAGAGAACCCCTCACAAGTAAAGCATGGCTCTATCTATGTGCCCTGCCAATGGGCATTTCCACAGTGGGAGGATCTGGACCTTGGGCTTTCACTGATGTATATTCCTTTTCCCCATGCCTCACGCACCCAGGGTTCCCCCTGCTGACTCATTATTTCCCAGATTTCTGTCTGAATTTCTCTCACCTCCCCCTTGTCCCAGCCTTCCCTTTCCCTCCACCATTGCTCACTCAGCTCTCTCCCCCTCCTGCTCCCCCCAACTGTCACCCCCAGCATTCCATTGCCAGATGCTCCCAGAGGTGGGGAGCTCCATCAGTTGGAGGTGCCAGCAGTGTGGTGAGAGGAGAGGCCCTGGGCACAGGATGGGGTATGGGGGAGCAGCCTGCCCTGGCCCCAAGCCCCTGGCTCCCCCATCTAGGGGTCTGGTGTTTAACTACATGGAGCTTCCTGGCTGTGAGGGCTGACCTTGGCCCCACAGCCCATCGCATGGCAGCAGGGCGAGTAGGCCGAGCGAGGGGCAGCACCCCCCACTCTGGGTCTGGATCTCAGCAGCCTCCCCGTGGTGAAGCCCCCAGTGAGACAGTGTGAGGCCACGCTCTCAGCGTCGCCCCCTGGCTGTGCTGAGGTGATCAGGGCTGGGCACGACACAGCCTCACTGAGCCAACGGGGCAGCACCCTTCACTTTCTAGGGGCATTCTGAGGTGGGGGAGGCGCACACAGACGATATTGCCACGTTCCTAAGCACAAGGACCTAAATCTCCTCTCATTGACTCAGGCGTCACACCAGTGTCATCCATTAACTTTACTTTCATGGATGCACTCCTGACTCTCATTACGGGTGAATAAGCGGAGACTCAGCCCTACAGTTCCAGTATCAGTGGGCTTTTCCCCACGGCTTTCGATGGGGCCAGGAGTTGACCGTAAATGATGCTGGTTTGAAAGGCCTGATCCGTGGTTTTGTAGGTCCCTGAAGCTACGGAACACAAACTAAACACATTTTCTTTTTGAAAGGGAGGTTTAATGCGGTTTCCCTGGTAACTCTGATTTCCTTGGTAACCTTGTTACTGTTTATATTAAGATGGACACACACAGTCGTGAATTGGTTTGGGGTCCTGACTGCAGCTGTGCTGTTGAGGACCCTGATGGGAATCTCAGCTTCCCCCACCTTCCCAATAAGCTCACTAGTTGTCTCACTTTTGTTTTGAAGTTCCCTTTCAGTTGCACCCGCTGCCTCTTTATTCAGAAGAAACAGGATTCCAGCACTGAGGTACCTGGCGTGTATACATCCTAAAATGACACCATGGGCAAATCCTACTCCCTCCTCTGCACCTGCAGAGGGCCCTGCTGCTGGCCTGCCCTGCATGGGCTCCCCCTGCACAGCAGGGACTGGCAGTGGGCCAGAGGTGAGGCCTGTTATCCATCAGACATTGCTCCACCCCATCCCCCGGAGAAGGGCCACACAAGGCCTATTGCAATCACAGGGCCTGCAGCTGCCACCATGGAGCAGCTTTGCTGTCACTTCAGCCGGGAGGGGAGGATTCCTTCTCCTCTGCCACTCCAGTGTCAAGCCCAGCTACTCAGGCTTAGGTGGGAGTGGGAGATGTGTGAAGAAGGACAGGGAGTGTGGCCTGAAATGAGGATTTGAGGGTCACAGAGCTCAGTTCATGCACAGACACCATCTGTTTTATTGCTGCCTGTACCTGAAGCAGTGGGAAAGAACAGAGTAGAACCATGACTTTCTTGATAGAGTTCCCTGATCCTAGGACCACAGAGAGATAAACGTTAGTGCCATTAAATAGTCCAAGGCCAAGGGGAATAATCCAACATACAGTTTGTCTGGGACATCTCAGCAAAGCAAATTACAGAGGCAGGGCTGCGATTAACTCTAATTCGCTGATGGACAGTGATCGGTGAACCTAAAAGAATCAGATTCCAGGTCTGGTTCTGAATAAAAAAATCTGAATCCAGCTTTTGGAGGCCCTGCTCTCTTAACTGTTATCTATCTTCCACTCCCAGCAGGCCTTGCTTCTCCTCTGCATTGTTGTAGGTCTTCTTGGAGATGAGTCTCAGCAGCCTACTAATCCTTCCAATGCTGGAACTCATCTCCAAGGCACAACTGGGCAGCTACAGTTTGTATGGGATTTTGGAGCTCAGCTACTAGATCTCCTCTATCCTTCTATCTCTAGGAAAATGATCTTCTGGGGAGCAGACAGCTTCCTTTCCACCCCATTCTGAAGCAGCAGGGCCTGGAAATGTTCCCCCAAGTTCTGCTGCTTCCTCCTACATTTTGGCTGATACCCCAGAGTGCAGTGGGGGTTTAAGATAGGCCTGATGTCTCAGTGTCACAGTGCTTTAAAGAGCAGTGCACAGTCAGAAGTAGCACGACCTGGGGGAGTGTTTCCCAGTTCCACCTCAGAAAACCAGGGATGGTGTGAATTGGAGCTAGGCTGTGGGTCTGCCAACTGGCCTCTGAAAGTTTGAAAGAGGATGCTCACCACTTGACTGTTCAAGTGGACTACAGCACTGAGCTTCACCCAGCCTCCACCATTTAAGAAGTGGGAAGGAGTGTAAAGAGGCCATTTTTTGGATGGATCCCTCTGAAAGGGCTATGGGGCATCCTGAGTCAATTTATTCAAATATTTAGAATGTCAAAAAACACAGATGTTTGATAGGTTCTTACTGTATGCAGTCCCCTTTGCTGTCCCCAGCAGGAGACAGCAGTTTTTGCCCTTCGTCACTACTGGTGCTTGGTCGTGCATCCCCACTAGGAGACAGGAGGTCTTCTTGTTAACATTGGCCTAATGGTGTGGAAGCCTAGCGTAAATAAGAACACTTATACCATGCGTTCCACCGCCCCAGAATGTTCTCTTCCCGTGAAGAGTGAGCTTATTCTGTTGAAACTTCATCCAAAATGTGCAGATATTTTCTACTAGAGATGGACCCAGGCTGAAAAGATCAGATTTCGCTCCTTTCCCCAAAGTTCAAAGTTGACCAAAGTTCTGATTGGAAAACATCTCTTTTACACTGTGCTGGAATGGCTCATTTGGCTTTTCTTATACTCTCCCTTTCGGTCCCATCTGCACTTTCTGTTTGGAAGTGACCCCCACATCTCTCTCTCTGTCTGTCTCTCTGAAGTACAGAACGAAAGTAAGCCCTGTGTCACAGACAGACCCCTCCTGTCGAAGGAATGGTTTCATATGGAACATTTATGTCTGTTCCATTTATGTCTGAACTCATCTAGAATGTTTGGCTTCCTCCAAAAGCAGGGGCTGCAAATTGTCTGCTATCTTGTCATTTCACCAGGGAGCATCCTCCAGGCATCATGGCTTTAACTGATGCTGATAAAAAGAATATCCAATACATCTGGGCAAAGTTATTTGAGAATCCAGAAGAAAATGGCAAAACAGTTGTGATCAAGTAAGTCATGACATTCAAGGGCTTCCTGCTTATCTGGGTTTAGTTCCTGCTTTTGTTTTAATTCAAACTGTAGCGTAAAATATGCTATAAAATGTAGCTTTCTCCTGTGCTTGTTTGTGACATCTGATATCATCACTGTTGTTCCTTCTGTCTCTACTAAACATAGCTGTTGTGAGATCTTTTTTGGACCAATTTCTGTAAGTGAGAGAAACAAGCTTTTGAGCTACACAGCACTCTTCTTCAGGGCTGGGAAAGGTACTCAAGAGTGTGCCAGTTTAATACAAAGTGGAACAGATCGTTTAGCATAAATAGAATATGTGCGAAGAGACCATTCAAGGTGAAGTGGCCTGGTAATACCCCTGCAGTCATAGGACAAAAAGGGGGGTTAATGGGATACAGATTGTTGTAATAAGCCATAAATCCAGTGACTTTATTAAGATCATGATTGTTAGTGTCTAGCAGCAGAGTTATTTGAATTTAAGCTCCCAGGCTCATCTTTTGAAAATGTTGTGCAGGTTTCCTTTGAGGATGAGGACTCATAGGTCAGATACAGAGTGACTGCTTTGTGAAAAGTGTTCTCCCACAGGTAATGTGGTGTTTTTGTCTTTTATCATTGTCTCCCTAATATTGTGGGACTGACATGGCTACAACAACACTGCATATGCCTGCTGTGAGTGTATTTATATAGTGACTGTGATTGCCCACGAGACAGACTTGCAGATAAAGGTCATAGCAGAGCACTACACATTTGGTTTTGCTTCACTGGAAACTTTTCCCCCTTCTCCTTCCTCATGAAACATCCCTCTCTGTCTCTGTGCTGCTTGAGAGTGAAGACTTAGGGCATTACCCTGTGACGGGATGAGCAGGTCTGCTCTGCTCTCTGAGCTCCTCTCATCTTTGCGTGTGGTTTTGTTTCAGTCGATAAATGAACTCCAGGTTCAGTTCAAATTCTAAGTCCATAGATTCTGAAGCTGGGCCTTTGGACTAAGGAGACGGAGATGCCTGGTGGACAGTGACAACATGCATCCTTCTTGTCTGTTTGGCATGAGGTTCAAGAGGACACATGCTCCCTCATTCTGCCTCTCCCCTTCGCTGTCTGGTCTCTGAGCTGCAGAGGGTTATTCAAACTGGAAATGTGCTTAGAAATAAGGTTCATTACAAATATAACTGCTCCTTTCATTCTGCCCTTTACAATGCTGCTGACTGTGCAGGAGTCCTTTCCCCTCCCACTACATTCAGTGGGGACACACTGTTATTCCCTTTAATAGTTGCTGGCCAGATGTGTTCCAGGATAATCTGTTCTTCTAAGAGGTTTTGTTAATGAGTGTGCATCGGGTGATCTACCAAAGGTACTGAACAGCTTTGGGAGTGAATTAGCCAGTTTCTATCCTCTGTCTCTGAGGGGTGATATTGCTGCACATTTAAAAATGCTGGTCTAAGCTACTGAGCATTACTCTTTTGTAAATTCCTTGAAGCCCATCTGTTCACACTTGGACTTTTGTAATGTTGCAGCTGTCACTCTCAAGCACCCTTGGGAATTTGGCTAGCTAAAATAGTGGCTATTACAAATACAGGACAGGAGTCACACTATGAGAGGGGGGTAGTTCACTCTGAAAGGGAATGATCTGGATTAAGGGGGTCCTCTTCCTTCAAATATCCTTTGTTTTTTGCCACCTGGACCTACCCCAAGTTTGTCCTTTTGGGACAGTAAACAGTAAACAGTTAAGCAGCTGTCACGATTAAGAGAAGAGGCCATTAAATATATCAGTCTGAAAAATATATAATGAAATAAAATGATTTACTGAACCAAAATACAGGGGTTCTTTTAATGTGTATTTGACAAACTCTATAATAAGAAGCCTCAATTTAATGTTTCACCCTGGCTAGACACCATGCAATTGAACTTACTGGAGGAGTAACTAGACTAAATTCTGTGGCCTGTTTTATGCAAAGAGGTCAGATTAAATGATCTAATAGTGCCTCTGGCCTTAAAAATCTATGAAGCCTCAGCACTGGCCAAATATGTCCCCATTAACCAGAATTGCTGCTGTTACTGTCCCAACTAAGAGAAGTCATCACCATTCACTGTCATTAGTACCTGGGGAGAGGGTCCAATGACCTCTTTGACCTGGTAACATAGAGCGTAATGTTTCAGGGCAACAATAATTAGCACCAACCAGAAGGGATTAAGAAATCATGATGGGAACTTTTTCTGAACTTTGATATGGAACTCTCAGGAACAGGCCTTTTTGCCAGATTTCCAGTGTTTATGGTCTCAGACCTACTGATGCACCCTGGCGGTCCACAGGGGCCTGAAAGTGGGAGCACCTTTGTTTTGGTGCAAAGCGGCCTTACTGTAACTGGGCACCAAGCCCCAAGACTCTGGTTCAGAGACAACTGGTATCTGCTGATAGCACGAGGGCACAGTGTAAAGGTTCAGCCGCCTCCAGAACAGTTCGAGCCCCGCCCCCTTACCCTCAGTCTGCCCTCCCAGCAAGCAGCGGCTCCTCCCTGCAGCTTCCAGCTATGGCTCCTGCCTCTCCCCGCGGATGCAGCTCATGGGCTCTGGAAGTTGCTGCGCAGGAAGGGGGCCCAGCCACACCATGTGACCAAGTGGGGCTGGCAAACCCTGGCAGAAATCAGGGAGGGGGGAGGCACATGATCTGCGGGTCCCCCACACATGTCACCTTTGAATGGGAGGGAACACATTGTTGAACAGTCACATAGCAAGAAAGGTTTTTCTTGGCATGTATTTCACTGGCTGCTTTTTCCAGATTTAGATCTGGCTCTTCAAACAGTCTTTTTCTTACACTAATATCTTGTATACCCATCGCAATTTGGTCTCTTATCATTAACTCATATTGATTCTGGAAATTACATGTCTGACTTCTTATCTTTAGATCTGTTAAAAATGATTCAAAAATCTCTTCCTCCATTTGATTTCTTGAGTGAAACTGAAATATTTAAAAAATGTTTCATTTCTTGTTTGTAAACAGTATGCCTCAATTTTTTCTAAGACAAACTCATAGTCAGTTTGTTCTCTAACATTAAGCTCAAATGAATTATATAATGAAATTGCTTCAGTGCCTGCGATATTCAAAAAGATGACAATCTTTTTCTGTCTTATAAGTAGATCCCTATGCCCTCAAAAATAAATCAAATATTTGTTTAAACCTTTTCAGCATTTTGCAACATTTTTAGAAATGTAGGAACTCTTAATTGATCCATATTATTTCATTCAAACTTGTTTTTCACTGCTGAGTAACTATTACCTTAGGGTTTGTTTGTTTTTAAACTTCTTCCAGTTCTTTTTATCACTTGCTTCCCTCCTGGTCCCATGTGGTGTTTTATATTCAAGTAATCTACTAAGCTTAATAATAATTCATTGCTAGTAATTTAACAATGGTCTTTATTAGATACATAGTTAACATATAGACGGAGCATCTTAACTCCGGTCAATCTATCAGTCTAACCTAAAACCAACAGCCTCCTCCCACAGTCATCTCCCATCCTGGAGATTCTCTTAAAGCCACAGCCACAGTGGGCTTGCTTTGCTAATTTGTGATTTTTCAGTCACTATTGTTTCTTCCCAATACAGACTCTTCAAAGATTATCCTGAGACAAAAGCATACTTCAAGAACATCCCGACTGAAGGCAACCTGCAGGAGGATCCGCTGGTGCGTTTCCATGGCCGGAGAGTCATGGTTGCCCTCAACCAGGTGGTTGAAAACCTGGACAATTGGAAGCAGGCCTGCAGGATTCTGGACCGTCTAGCAGACAAGCACAAGAATGTGCACCAAGTGCCAGCAGTGAATTTCCAGGTACCGATGCACGCAGACATCAAGGGAACATGCTTTGTTTAGAGATTACAGCTATTTGTTCTGGCACAGGGGACAGATCAGTATCCCAGAGGCATAGTTATGCATGTTCACACATTCTGACATGGTGGTCAAAAAGCAGGAGGTTAGCATAGGCATGTGCAATAAGCATTAGAGTTAATAAAGCACCCATGCCATGCAAGTTCAATTGTTTGTGCGATCAAATGGAAAATGAGATCACAGAAGTTTATTACAATAATCCCCACAGGCCTCAACCAAGATCAGGGCCTTGTTGTGCTGGACTATGTACACAAATACAGTAATAAACAGTCCTCGCCCCAAAAAGCTTACAGTCCACACACACAAGATAAACAAAGAAGGGATAGCATAGCCCCTATGTTACAGAGAGGTAACTTGGATGATAAGTGACTTTCCCCAAATCACATCAGGAGTCTGTGGCAGAGTTAGGAACTGACTCAGATCTCTGGACCCACAGCCAGATCCACACCCACATCATCCTTCCTCTCATCACAAAGTCTTTACAAAGTATTTAACTTCTAATGAAAAAATACCAGAAAAATGCACTTAAATGGGCTTAGATGCAAACACTGACACTTGGTTTGATCCCTGGCCCCAGAAGCCTAAACTAAAGAGAATGACATTGGGAAGGTGCAGATTTGGGGGAGACATCTAATGAGTCCTGCAGAGATCAGTGTTAGGTCCATCCCCCACGATGCTGAAGTGGGAGCAAAGAGCCCATAAGTACAGTTACAGGTTGTAGGTGCAGAAATACGGGCAGGACATAATAAAATGAGGTTCAGCCTCCACTGGTAGTTTTTCAAATGTTTTCATAGAATAGCCCATGTCTCAGTAAAGAGAGCATCCAATGGATGCCTCCACTCCTGTTCCTGGCTGCGGCCCACCTCCCCTCCCCTATGTAATTGTTTGACACCCCGTAACGCCCACAGCAGTAACTTACATGGAGAAAGTCAGGAGCTGTAGAGGGCTAGTAAGGTGACAGGGAGTGCAGTGTCTCCAGGTATAGAAACCCTACCACTAGCTCCAAGCACCCTACCCATAGGAAACCTAACCTACCTCAAAATACCCTACCCATAGGAACCCTAACCCTAGGGCTGGGAGCTGTACCCATAGGAACCCTAACCTTAGCTCCTAATACCCTATGCATAGGAACCCTAACCCTAGCTCCAAGAACCCTACCCATAGGAACCCTAACCCTATGGCGGGGATCCCTATCCATAAGAACAGTAAATCTAGTTCCAAGTAACCTATCCACAGGAATGCTATCCCTAGCTCTAAGTCCCCTACCCATAGCAACCCTAACTCTAGGGTGGGGACCCTTACCCTACAAACCCTAACTCTAAGTACCCTTCTCATAGGAACCCTAATCCTGGGGCGGGGAGCCCTACCCATAGGAATCCTAACCCGACCTCCAATTACCCTACCCATAGGAACCCTAACCCTAGGGTGGGGAGCCCTGGATGACCCTCAGCTCCATGGCTCCCTCACATCTGAGCCAATGTCTGCGCACAAGATCTGCTGCTCTACAAAAGCCACAAGAATTTAACTTTGTGACACAAACAGAGAGGTGAGAGTAGGCAGCCCTAGAGGTGAGGGGAACAGGGGCAGTCAGTTTGGGCTTCTGCTCCCAAGGGATGTAAGAGGATTGACAACTGGCAGGCAGTTCTGCCTGTCACTCCAGGGTTACCGCACCGCACTACTTGTTCAGAATTGGTTCCTTTCAAGCTGAAGAATTTACCAACCTTAATGCAATTCTGTGTTTGTGTCTCACTTGCTCTGTGTTCCTTTGACAGAGCATTTTTCAGGTAATCCTGAATGTCTGCAAAGACGTCCTGGGAAATGAATTCAGCACAGAGGTGTCCCTCTCCTGGGAGAAGCTCTTTGGTCTGCTCTCTGAACAAATAAATGCATCTTACGTAAGCACTTCCAAGTCCTGAAGTGGCCACAGTCACTCTATAGCTATGGAAGAGAGGAGACTAGTCTTTGTACTGTTCATGTTGTTATATAGATACATGAATATATATATGGAAATAGTTCTAGATGTGATGGAATAAAGGGAGACTCAGCAACATTTTTCTTGATCAGTGTTTGATTTCAGAACACAGGAATTGCTAGACTGCAGCAGACCCAGATCCATCTAGTCAGGGTCGTGTCTGACAGAGGAAGAAAGGGTGGAAGAGCCCTACAGTAGGCAGATGTGGGATAATCTGCCCTCCACTTTCACAGATTCCAAGGCCAGAAGTGATCCTAGGGCAGATCCTTTAGAAAAACATCCAGAGGTTTAAAAATTGTCAGCGATGGAGAATCCCCCACGACCCTTGGTAAGTTGTTCCAGTGGTTAATTACTCTCACCATTAAAAATTTACACCTTATTTCCAGTCTGAATTTGTCACTGGTCACCTGTCCATAGTGTGATTGTGTGGTCTGTAGCACACACTGACTAACACCCCATCTTGTGCTTTACCTGCTTCCCACAGCGATTCTCAAACTGTGGGTCAGGACTCCAAAGTGGGTCACAACCCCATTTTAATGTGGTCATCAGGGCTGGTGTTAGACTTGCTGGGGCCCGAGGCCCACCGCCCAGGGTGACAGGGCTCAGGCTTCAGCTCCAGCCCTGTGTGGTATGGCTCAGGTTACGGGCTGAAGCCCTTAGCCTTTGGCTTTGGCTCCTCCGCCTACTGTCGTGGGGCTCAGGCTTTGGCCCGCCCCCTGGGGCGGTGGGGCTCGGGCGGGTTCAGACTTTGGTCCCCCCTCCTGTGGTCGTGTAGTAATTTTTGTTGTCAAAAGGGGGTTGCCGTGCAATGAAGTTTGAGAACCACTGCCAGTTAGGACACTGATCAGTAAGTGTTCAAGATCATTTTCTAACAACTATCAGTAACTTGAAAATGGGTAGTGCCATTTTTTATGTAGACTGCCACATCCTTTCCCCTTTTGCCCACTGATCCTTCCAAAATAGGTTCTAACCATTGATTTTAACATTCCAATCATGGGAATCATCCCACCAAGTATCAGAAATACCAACTAAGCCAAATTTATGCTAATAAATTAGCAATTCCAATTCCTCTCATTTGTTAACTAGGCTCCTAACATTGGTGTATAGTCAATTCAATAATTTCTTCTCTTCCTGTCCTTTGGGTCCTTGATTAGTTTTGTTCTCAACATCTCCATTTTGTGCGGAGTGCTCATATCTTCCCTCCCTTTACCCTCTCCTTTTGTTTCAGAGAACCATGGTCTGATGACACATCCCAACCTCTGAGCCTCCATCTGACAGCTTGGATGCTCAGTGGTTAACTCCACAGGAAACAGTGTGTTCCCTACAGGTTCAAAACATTTTCTTTTTTTTGAGTAGCAGGAAGCCATCCACCAGCTATGCTTACCTCATGAAGTGGAGAATATTCTCTGTGTGGTACCAGTAGAGGGGTACTCCTTCTTTGCAGGCTTCTATACAGCTTATTCTGGGACACCTGCTCCACAGAACGCGGACAGTGCTCTCCCTCCATTCCCTGAGAGTTCACTTGGCAGCTAGTTCCACATTCTATCCTCCTGTAGAGGGAAGATCTGTTTTTTTTCATCCAATTACTACTGGATTTTTTAAAGGGTTACAAAGACTTCCCACCTCTAAGAGAGCCCCTGGTTTCATGGAGTCTAAATTTGGGTTTCAGCTCTAACAGGCCTGTCTAGGGGTACTGCCCTCCAGCATGCCCCTTTGTGGCCCTACATGTGCTCCCTGTCTCAGTTTCCTTCTCCCCAAGGTGTTCTATCTCTCCCAGGGTTCATGTGGTTGAGCCCTCCAGCTGGGTCACTGAGATCAATCCTTTTTCAGGGTAACAAGTCCAAACAATGGTCCCAAAGGTTATTCTGACCTTCAGGGCTCCTCTGAAGCCTGTCCTCTGGGCCCTCTTCCCAGTACCTTTCAGTCTCTCTTTCTCGCCTTAAACCAGAGTCCCCAGCTCTCCTCCTTGGAGCTAGGTTGTGAGTTAGCCAGGTGCAGGGCCTCAGCCAGCTT